AAGTTGAATTTATCTCCTTCACGTGCATCTCACATATACAAGTTGATCATGACTGTGCTTCACAAGATGGACCTGGTCCATGTCTGAGTTCTTTTGTCAGTCTTCAAAACTTCACCTGTTCTTGGACCAACAATGCACGAGTATTTTCTAAGATTGACTTGCGTTCAGGTTACCATCAGTTGAAGATTCAGAGCTAGATATCTCGAAGACTGCTTTCAGGACTCGGTATGGTCATTACGAGTTCCTTTTTATATCAATTGGGCTGACCAATGCCCCAGCAGCTGTCATGCATTTGATGCACAGTGTGTTCTGGCTGTATCTTGACTCGTTCATCATTGTTTTTATTGATGATATTTTGGTGTATTCCCGGAGTTGGGAAGATCATAAGAAGCACCTTAGGACAATGCTTCAAACTTTAAGGGAAAAGAAGTTATATGTAAAGTTCTCGAAATGTGAGTTTTGGTTGGATTTCGTGGCCTTCTTGGGTCACGTGGTATCGAGTGAGGGTATATGGATGGATCGAAGAAAGTGGAAGTAGTGCAAAGTTGGCCCAGACCATCCTCAGCTATAGAGATCCTCAGTTTTCTTAACTTGGCGGGTTATTACCGTCGATTTGTTGAGGGGTTTTTATCTATTGCAACACCTATGACCAGGCTGACCCAGAAGGGTGCTCCGTTCCAGTAGACGGAAGAGTGTCAGATGAGCTTTCAGAAGCTCAAGACAGCTTTGACTATAGCCCCAGTTTTGATATTGCCTACAGGTTCGCGGTCTTATACTGTCTATTGTGATGCCTCGAGGATTGGCATTGGAGTGGTATTGATGCAGGACGGTAGGGTGATTACTTACGCATCCAGGCATTTGAAGGTATATGAGAAGAATTATCCTATCCATGATCTCGAGTTAGCTGCTATTGTTCACGCCTTGAAGATCTGGCATCATTATTTGTACGTTGTTCCTTGTGAGATTTATACTGATCGCCGGAGCTTGCAGCACCTGTTCAAGCAAAAGGACCTTAATTTTCGCCAGAGGAGGTGGTTAGAGCTGCTAAAGGACTATGATATCGCCATCTTATATCACCCGGGCAAGGCCAATATGGTGGCCGATGCTTTGAGTCGCTGGGCGGAGAGTTTGGGGAGTTTAGCATATTTAGCAGTAGTGGAGAGGCCCATGGCGATGTATGTTCAGGCCTTAGCCAGCCAATTTGTGAGATTGGATCTTTCGGAGCCCAGTCTGGTTCTAGCTTGCGTGACTTCTCGATTCCTTATTTGATCGTATCAGGGAGCGTCAGTATGATGACCCCCATTTGCTTGTCCTCAAGGAAAAGATTTTGCATGATGATGCCAGAGATGTGACTATTGGTGATGATGGGGTATTGAGGATGCAGGGTCGGGTATGTGTACCCAATATTGATGGGCTTCGAGAGTTGATTCTAGAGGAGGCCTATAGTTCGCGATATTCCATTCATCCGGGTGCCGCGAAGATGTACCAGGATTTGAGACAACACTATTGGTGGAGGAGGATGAAGAAAGATATAGTTGGGTTTGTAGCTCGGTGCCTCAATTGTCAGCAGGTAAAGTATGAGCACCAGAGACCGGGTGGGTTGCTTCAGCAGATAGAGATTCTGGAGTGGAAGTGGGAGAGGATCACCATGCACTTCGTTGTTGGACTCCCACAGACTTTGAAGAAGTTCAATGCCATTTGGGTGATTGTGGATCGGTTGACCAAGTCCGCGCACTTCATTCCTATGTGTACTACTTATTCTTCAGAGCGCTTGGCGGAGATTTATATCCGGGAGATTGTTCGTCTGCATGGTATTCTAGTTTCCATCATTTCAGACAGAGGTACTCAGTTCACATCACGGTTCTGGAGGGCAGTACAATATGAGTTGGGTACTCGGGTGGAGTTGAGTACAACATTTCACCCTTAGACGGACGGACAGTCCGAGCGCACTATTCAGATTCTGGAGGATATGCTCCGTGCGTGTGTGATTGATTTTGGACGGTCTTGGGATCAGTTCTTGCCATTGGCGGAGTTTTCCTACAACAACACCTATCACTCCAACATTCAGATGGCACCGTATGAGGCTTTATATGGTAGGTGGTATAGATCCCTGGTGGGTTGGTTTGAACCGGGTGAGGCTAGATTATTGGGCACAGACTTGGTTTAAGATGCTTTGGAGAAGGTTAAGGTGATTCAGGATAGACTCCGTAGAGCCCAATCCAGACAGAAGAAATATGCGAACCGGAAGGTTCGTGATGTTTCCTATATGGTTAGAGAGCGGGTTCTGCTTCGGGTTTTGCCTATGAAGGGCGTTATGAGATTTGGGAAGAAAGGGAAGTTGAGTCCGAGGTTCATTGGTCCGTTTGAGATGTTGAGACATGTTGGGGAGGTTGCTTATGAGCTTGCTTTACCTCCCAACTTGGCAGGAGTTCATCCGGTATTTCATGTTTCGATGTTCTGAAAGTATCACGACGATCCGTCGCACGTGTTGGATTTCAGTTCAGTCTAGTTGGACAAGGATCTATCTTATGTTGAGGAGCCAGTGGCGATATTGGACAGGCAGGTTCAGAAGCTGAGGTCAAAGAATATCGCATTAGTAAAGGTTCAGTGGCGGAGTCAGCCGGTCGAGGAGGCGACCTGGGAGACCGAGCAGGATATGCGCAACTGTTACCCTCATCTTTTCACTACTTCAGGTATGTCTCTATGCTCGTTCGATGATGAACGAATGTTTATGTGTAGGAGGATGTAACGACCCGACCGGTCGTTTTAAGAATTTAATGCCTTGATCCCCTATTAACTGCTTTTCCCGTGTTTGTTTATGCTATTTTGATTTGCCGAGATGTTTGGTTTTGAGCTTCAGAGTGTTTTGGTACACTTAGTCCCTAAATGAGAGTTTAAGTTTTAGAAATTGGACCATAGTTGGAGCAGTATGAAGAAGGCCTCGGAATGGAATTCCGTTGGTTCCGTTAGCTCCGTTGAGTGATATCGGGCTAAGGGGCGTGTTCGGATTGTGTTTTGGAGGTCTATAGCTAATTTAGGCTTGAAATGCCGAAAGTTGAATTGAGGTCATGAGCGCTACATATCTCGTCTTGATCCAAAAAGGTGAAGAAGAATGAACTAGCATCTGCAGCTAGCAAGTGTCAAGGTTCAAATCTAAAAGTTCGCATGAAGAACCATTCAAGACTCAAGATCAAGCTTTAGAAGACTCATAGATAGGAATCTTGTAACTGGTAGCTGATAGGCTTAGTTAGTCTTTTCAGTTTTGATTTTTGATGTAATAATAGGACCGCGGACCGGAACCTCACTCGACTCCCGAACTCATGATTCTACCATAGCTCCTTGAACTACACGTGACCTGATTCCCTTATAACCCGAGATATGTAGGCTATTCAAAACTAGGACTTGATTGCGCCTTTTTCTTTTATTTTCTTCCTTTTTTGAATAACGATATGGTAAAAAATTAGTCACATGGCTCACTTTATCTTTGCCCGAAAATCTTTCATGTTTCCAAGCAAAGAGGGGCAGTTGTGAGCACCTAATTTTTTACTATATTTGAATTTTTCGTCACTTTTTAGTATATAAATAATTTTAAGCTTAATCTACATATTTTAGCCTTTATTTCATTTTTAGTAGGTTTTATTTAAGAATATTAAAAATCACAATAAATAAATAAATTAATGTTCTTGATTTTAAAATATTTAACTAGTATTTTTATTTTACACTTTTTAAAAGAACAGAAAAAATATTAAAAAGCAAGAGCAAATAAAATTGTGGCACATCACCACAAAAAGCAAAGTTCTATAACAATATTCATTTCAGAATGGATTTTTCACCATTTGCACTCTCACGTGATCACTTATGCAATGGTACATTCCAAATTTGGAATGGAAATATTCCCTCACATGTACCTTTCCTACAAAAATTATCTTTCCATATTTTCCTCACACGTCAAAGGCATTGCATAGAGATGCCTTTTAAAATCCATCCATATTCTCGATAAATGGGATTGATTCCTAAAATCTATCGTTGACAAAGGGCCCCACACGGTTTGGTACTACCCATTTTCTTAATTACACTCATTTAATATAAACACTGACACACACAGAGAAAAAAGGGGGTCCCCTCCTCTCCAAAAATAAAACCTTCAGCAACCCATCCCTCTCTTTCGCCGGCCTCCCCCAGAAATTCACCCATTTCTTTTCTCTGAAAATTGAAGAAAAACACACGGTCAGAGGAAATAAAGAGAAGCAGTCGACCAATTATTATTTTTTTCAATTTTTTTCTTTTGTTCGGCGAGTTAAGCTTAACTAAGATCACTGCCTTGCCGGCGCTTCGCCGGAGTTTCATCATCTCCGGCCAACTCAGTCGATTAGAATCCGTTCGAGGTTGTTGATTCCGGTTCCGGGTCCATAGCGCAAGTGCGGTATGTTGGTCGCAGGTGCGGAAGCTTGAGGTTTAATGAATTTTTGTAGGTGCGGTCCTTTATCTGTAGAAGCGGTACCGTAGGTGCGGTCCCTTGACCGCAGAAGCAGATTTGATGGGCAGAAAATAAGAATTTCGAGGGTTTGAAATCAAAAGTTAGAAAATTGATTTGGAGCTCGGGAGAGGGCGATTTTGGGAGGATTTTGAAGAGGAAATCAGTGGGTAATGATTCCTAATCCCTTCTAGTTGTATTCCTATAATCTAATCTTAGTTTTGTCATTTAATTTCGGAATTGGGATGAAAATTGGGGGAAAATTGGAGAAAGTTCTTAGACCTAAATTTCGAGTTTTGATTGGGGATTTTACATTGGATTTGGATAACTTTGGTATGGTTAGACTCGTGAGAGTGAGAATTCTGAAAATATAAATTTCACCCGATTCCGAGACGTGGCCTCGGAGGGCATTTTTGTCATTTTTCCTAATTTCGCGTATTAACTTAGAATTTTTTTGTAGAATCAGTTATTTGAAGTGTTATTTACATTATGCAATTGAATTGAATAGATTTGGGTCATTTGGAGTCGAGTACTCGTGGCAAGAACGTGGTTTCGGGTTGATTTTGAGCCGATTCGAGGTAAGTGGCTTGCCTAACTTTGTGTAGGGGAATTCTCCCTTAGGATTTGATATTGATGATATTTGAGATGCCTTATATGTGAGGTGACGAGTGCGTACTTGTGCTAATTATTGAAAAATTCTATTTTCATTAATTAACTATAATTGTGCTTCTATTCCTGCCTATACTACTTGCAATTTAAGCTTACTGTTAGCTTAGGGAAGCATGCCTAATTGGCTTAATTGCCTTATTTGCTCAAACTGCGTTATTTGGATTCCGTGCAGCATGCTAGGTTAGAAATACTTGTTTTACCTTGGTATGGAATTTGAATTGAATTGAGTATTCTTTGTGTTGCTGCTGTGTGTTTACTTTGGGACTACGGGACATTATCGTGGGAGATCCCCCTGCATGTTTACTTTGGGACTATGGATTGGTATTCCGGGAGATCCCCCTACACTTTTATATTGGAACTACGGGACTACACCCGGTAGATTCCCCCAGCACTGAGTTGGACTACGGGACGGTATCCCAGGAGATCCACTGGATATTTATATTTGGGACTACAGGACGGTATCTTGGGAGATCCCCGGTTGTTATTTATGTGTTGAGTTGTATCCCTTTCTGTGATTAATTTGTCTTTGTTGTAGTTATTGGTGTTCTTTCCATCTTGTGTTACTTCTTATTATTGCACTTAATTATACTATCTTATTCCACACTATTATACTTTGCATTTCATTTAACCTCAGTAGGGCCCTGACCTTCCTCGTCACTACCGATCGAGGTTAGGCTTGGCACTTACTGAGTATCGCTATGGTGTACTCATGCCCTTTCTACGTATGTTTTTCATGTGCAGATCCAGGTACTTCGACTCAGTCCTACCACCCTTGAGGCGAGACAATTTTCCCAGAGACTTCGAGGTATATCTGCCGCGTCCGCAGACCGAGGAGTCCCTTTCTATTCTCTCTTTAAGTATTAGCCCTTCTGTATTTTTCTTTTGTTAGACAATCTGGAGTTAGATACTTGTAGACATTCAAAACCTTGTGATTTCATGAGATTCCGGGTTTTAGGAAATGTTGTTTCAGTTTCGAGAGTTTGTATTGTATATGCCGAGCGACATCTTAAACGCTTCGTTATGTTATTTCTGTAGTTTATGGTTAGTTTTATTCTGTTATTTCTGTATTCCGCAATTTGTTAGGCTTACTTGGTCGTAGTGACTATGTGCCGTCACGATAGTTCACGGAGGGCAAACTGGGGCCGTGATAATTATTCCATAGTTAATACAACCACTTAATTCTGACTTAATGCCACATCACTACATATTCCCCCCCTTTAGGGGAGTACTAAGAGTTTAAGCCTCGAGGATCTACCTATAGATGTGATACTTCTTCATCTTTGGTGTCTTTCCATATTATCGATGGCCCTTACTCGCCTTGCGGCAATCCTTCTGTACCAAGGATAACAAAATTTCTTACTCACGATGGTGACACCTAGTGTAATTGGCACACATAGTTCCTTAAGTTTAACTTTACTCACATTGCTTGCTTTAGAGAAGTGTCTGCCTGAATGACCATTCTCTGAATTTCTCGTGAATCTTCTTCTGTTGTCCATTTTATTATTGCCTGAACAAAATCTGAAATTCTCATGATGCCGACTATTATCAAATCACTCAGTCCCTAATTCATGTTTAGCTTATCTTGTTCACCAATCCATACTAGTTTCTATTACGCTGGAGTCCAGCTTTTCCTTTTGGTAATCGCGTCAGAGTTGCGAACTTATTTCTCGAAATGAGGATATGACTTTATGGACTATATTCTTTTGTTGTCTCAAGGCCTGTCACCTCTCGTTTCTTCCTTCACTTGACTATAGATTCTGTAATACTGTCATCTTTTGATCTACCGTTTGTCATTCATGTATCACATCTTACTTATAGTGCTTCCTTATCTCTCTTCTTATTTCCCTGCTAATATTTCTGTGTATCCCTTTCTTTTGAAAACTTCAACAAGACATTATTTTTCTTTTAACTCCCCCTGCTTCATTCATTGGCTCGTCGGTTTGCTCAACGTTCTCACTCTACTAAGGAAAAGAGCCACACTAAGGTAATATTTACCTCTTCCAGGATTCCAGTACATGTCTTTGTAGTGCTCATATCTAGCTGTACTATTTTAGAGTGCACCATCTAGGTATCTCACAAGGAGATCTATTAGCACCTTTATAATATCCTTTGAAAATGTTAACTAACGCAAACCATCCATCCATTATTTTGGGTTACTCTAACCCCAGCCGGATTCTGCTATCATGTCATTCTCTTAAACCATATCCGTTAGCTCCTATAGGGCATGACTGAGACAGATGTGGCCGATTGTACGTACATATGTTACTGTTTAAGATAACTCAAAATGCTTATATCTCCCTTCCTGAATGGTAAATAATGATAATCTTTATTAACTGGATACCCCGTACCTTTCTTCACCTTGCTTCTTTTACTTGCTGAAACTTGTGTTTAACTTCTGATTTTGTTATTCCTTTTTACCGTAAGAGTGGATAAGTAATCTTTCCTAAAAGCTCCTTATCAAGAACCTTACAACTTTTAGTACACAAATGATCTACTGAAGACCTCACATTTACTCATCATAAGCAAGATGCAAAATCGAGCTCCTCTAACTCAACACTTCCACAACTATATCTCTTATCGACTATCTTTCTGAATGTAGGCATCATCTTATTACGAATAAAATAGAAGTTCAGAATTTGAATTCTTATAAGTGAGCTCTATCACACGATCTAGAGTAAGAAGAAAGAGTGACAGTCCTAAATGTCCTGTAGCTTCCTGCTTATAAGTGTGGTGCACAACACACCCATAAATAAGACTCTACTAGACACGACTTGTAGACTCCCTAGGACAGAACTGCTCTGATACCACTTTTGTCACAACCCAAACCGATGGGCCGCGATGGGTACCCGGTACTTTACTCAACTGAGTACCAACATAACGTATCTTTTCGTGTCATACTATCATAGGTAAATGAGCCAGAGAGGTTGTTGTGAGATAAGTACAATAAAACATGGAGAAATACTCGTCATTGGATGATCCAACATATAATCCAAACTTATACATTTGACGTACGGGCCTATAAGGCCGGCATGATCCTTTATATACTCAAAATATAGGCCGACAAGGCCATACAAGTATCCGTATACATGATATCTATCTACAAGCCTCTAAGAATACATGATATCTGTCTAATCACACTAACCAAACAAGCAATTCCGAAGCAAATGGAGCGCATCAACATTTTTCGCTGAGCTGATAGCCTACTTGGAGGGCTCTCAACCTGTCTATCGGGACCTGCGGACATAAAACGCAGTGTCCCCAGGAAAAAGGGACGTCAATACAAATAATGTATATGTAAGGAATGAAAATCAGTAACTAATAGACATGAGAGAAACATGAAGCAAAAGACTCGACATGTAAGTCTGAATAACTCTGTAAATCATGAAATAATTATAGTGTCATGCATATGCGTATGAATGTCATATCGTGCATAGGTACATAATTCATAACATCAGCAGGCCTCTGAGGGCATCCCATCATATCATCTCGGCCACTATGGGTAAAATATCAAAGTATACCAGTTGATCAGGTGGTGGTGCGTATATAATGCCGTAACCTTTTCCCATATCCCATATACATATATATACATATAAATACACGAATATAACGTTATCCGATCATGTGTCAATGTAAATGAATGCAACGCATGATAAGTACATCAATAATATCTTTCGGAGTGTCATAAGACCATTTTACCTTTGATTAATATCATGAGGTAAACGTTTTTTCAACGTACATATTTTTTTGAAACCCATGAATAGATGATAGAATAATATGACACGGGATTGCCAAAAAAAAAAGCATCAAGCAAAAACGCTCTCCCTTCTCTCTTCTTTCTTTCTCTAGCTGCGATGAACAGTAGCGACGCAATAGTTCACCGACCATAACTCCAGTGTCCACCGTTGAAAATTCACAAAATTGGTGTCTAAAGAAGCTCCTAATCTTTGCGCACAATCCCCAATTGATTTCATCTCCAAACTCGCAACCAATTGTTCCAGATCTACGAATTAATGTAGAGGTTACTGTAGCACGCAAGTTTTGTGTTTTGAGCAGCCATGGATGCCTTCATCTCTCCCCAGCTCCATACTGTGGGAGAGTCCAGTCAAAATCCAAAGGAAACAATTGTTAAACACAATCCAAAACAAACATATGCTGAAAGAATTGCTGGTCACAAATCTGACGCGTCGAAATCGAAAATTGAGTTATGTCCAGTTACTGTTATTCATGGAGAACCAACTGTTTAATTCACCATTGAAGAGGTTAACTCATTCACCATTGAAGAAGGACTGCATCAAGCAGTAATTCTAAAATTCTCGTATGGGAAACCAGATCTTCATGAGTTGCGACAAGCTATTCCAAAGCAATTTAACGTGAAAGGATATTGTAATGTTGGGCAACTAGAATATTGGCATATCTTGGTAAGATTTGATCTTTTTGATGATTTTGTCCAGGTTTTGTCGAGAACTACTGGTTATATTACATCAAAAGGTGAAGAATTCTTTTATAGAACTTTCCCGTGGACGATAGGATTTTATCCCCGAGCAGAAACGTCAAGAGCAGTGGTATGGATTTCGTTACCAGATTTGCCTGAAAATTTCTTTGCAAAAAAGTCCTTATTATCCATAGCCTCAGTAGTGGGAAAGCCATTAGCAATGGACAAAGCGACTCAAGATAGAACACGACCAAGTACGGCGAGAGTGAAGGTGCTACTTGAGCTGCTGGACAAACATCCTAAGCGAGTTAGGATAAATATTGTGGATACAATTTCTGGAAGGTTAGTTGAACATTACCAGCAGATAGTATATGATAATCTCCCTAAATTTTGTACATGTTGTAAACACCAAGGACATGATGTAAAATCATGTCGTTGGAAGATCGAGAAAAGTAATGAAGAAGCTGCACCAATTGTTGAAGTTGAAGGGCCGTCTAATCTTGACAAATTAGAAGGGGATGCTAACGACTATCTTAATGCAAAAAGGGCTGAAAAAATGGTAGATAATATAGCAAAGACGACTGTGGTCGAGCAGCAAGAGGTGCAAACAGCAATGGAAAATCGAACTGGTAACTTGAACATTGATCGAGCAGTGAATGATAAGGGTCCAACTTTGGCGATTAATCTTGTGGGGCAGGCCTATGATGAGCTACATGTTTCTACTGCTGCAACTC